TATATATATATATAGAAACTAAAAACAGGAGGATAAAAATGACAAGTGACGTTTACAATACTTATTTCATTTTAAGTTCCTAGAATAATTTCCCACCTTTAATATTAACTATAAGTGTTTCATTTATATTCATAAAATTATCAATTTCTTGTCATTTTAGTCTTTAAATATATGTTAATATTATCATGTCATATATTTTTTTTAAATTTTGGATTAAAGTAAATAATTGTACACTTTCAAGAACTATTTTTTTTTATAATAAAATTTATACTTTTGAGAATCAAAGTGTCTACAACATACAATTTCAAATACTTAAATAGTGTTTTAACCTTTCAATTGTAATAAAAAATTAATATATAAATTAAATACGCATAAAATTTATTTTTTTACTAAAAAATAAAAAAATATAAATTTAAACATTAACTAAATAAAAAATGTTTTGATTAAATAAATAAACAATCAGACAAAAATGTTAAAAGTAAAAATCTAAAAGAAAGTTTTCTGCAAGTGAGAACTACAGCACATATTAACCAAATAAAAAGTTCTTTTGATTAATTAAATAAATAAATAAAATCAGGAAAAAAGTTTAAAGTTATTTATTTTTTTAAAAAAAGGGTTTTTGCAATTGGGAACAACCACAAATGTGTCAAAGTAGCAAAACATATGTTTCATAATAGTCCTTTACGAATCGTGTTGAAAAAAAAAAATAAAAAAATAGTGCCAGTAAGGCCCGAATTTTTTTCTCAAATAATATTTATAAAAAAAAATTACCAAAAAAACATCTATTACACATTATTTATCCAAATAGACTTTGTTACTGTTTATACTCAGAATTCGGTTCCCGGAAAATCGAATTCTGAGTAGTGTTTAATTTTTTATTTTATTTTTCGTTTTAGGTTCAGGAATTTGTCAATTTTACAACTGGAACGGGCCGTTCTCCTTGGAGAACGACCCGTTCTACTTGTATTACATGGAGAACGGTCTGTTCTGATCCATTCGTCATATGTATATTTTTTATTTGGAACGAGTCGTTCTGATTGCAGAACGGCCCGTTCTAAATCCAGTTTTCCTCTTTCTCAAAAACTAAACACAAAAAAAAAAAAAAAAAATAATAGTGCTCAGAATTCGGTTCCATCGAATTCTGAGTGTGAACAGTAAAGAGGTCTATTTAGATAAATAATGTGTAATAGATGTTTCTTTGGTAATTTTTTTAAAAAAATATTATTTGAGAAAAAAATTCACTAAGGTCCACCACAACACATAAAAATAATAATATATGTCGCTTTAACTAGTTGCAACAGAAACAAGTATTGCTATCGAGTGACATTTGCATCATGCCACATGTCCATTAGCCATTTATAGGTGAATAAAATAAATAAATAAATAATGTGACAAGAATATTGTTGAGTTGACTAACAACACCCTCGTTGACCACCCGAATGTGGAGAATAGTTTCCAAAGAATCCCAATGTGATAATATGTTTTGAAAACTACCTTAGTATAATCATGCATGTGGAATCCTTGTAACTTCTCTGTTGTGTTGGATCCATGATTGTAACTTCTCTTTAGTGGAAGATTTGTGTGTAATGAGAGATTCAAATGCTTGGATCTTTGTTGATTCACGAAACATTCGTAGTCACACATCCACCATCATCTTGTAGTAGATCTGAACACGTGTGTCTCCGTTGTGTCACGACACACGTGCATTGTGTGTCACAAAAAATCCACACTCATTGAAGAAGAAAGGAGAAAGACAAACAGGGGAAGAAATAGAAGGGAAAAAAGAAAGAAAAAAATAAGTGGCACTACCACCAGAAATCGTCTTCGATGATGGTGTATGGTGGTTGATAGTGTTCTGTGGTGATATACTAGGATATAGAGGGTGCATTATAAAAGTGTAAATGATGAATTAATTTAAGGGACAACAATTTTGGTGTATGGTGAATCATTTAAGATAAAATAGATACTCCAAAGATACCTATATAAAATTTATTACTAATAAATAACATACGTACTATATATTTATTATTGATTATTAGAGAGAAAAAAGACACTTTATGTGTCTCTATTTTTTTAAAATAAAAATAAAATAAAAAATACAATAGTCAATAGTTAATTGAATGTTGTGAGTGGTTTGTAAATGAAATTTACAAGAAAAATGAAAATAATGGTTTACAAAGTAATAGTTACAAAGATAAAATTGGACACAAAATGTATGAAAAAAATGTCATATTCCTTTTATTATAGTTATATTAGCTATAAATATAAAATATAATTTTTTTTTTGAAAAAATATTATAATTTTTTTAATTAATAATATATATACTTTTTTTTGATAGGCATATTAATAATACATATACTTTATAATAATAATAATAAATGAAATATTTACTACATATATTTAAATAATAATAATAATAATAATAATAATAATAATAATGTGTTTACTACATATGTTTAAATAATAAGTACAAAGCACGTATATTATTTAGTAGTTATAAATTCATGTGAAATTTGGTCCTTAATTTTAAGTTATACTCTCACCAGAAAGAAAAAAATACACTAACTAAAGAAATTATTTAATATATTATTATTATTATTATTTTAAAAATATTAAAAATACAATCTCAATTAAATAGATATTTTTTTTTGAGAATTATAACATTAAATTGAGTGATATTAATTAAAATTTGTTATCAATAAACATGAGTTTTTTCTTCTCTTTTCTTTTGCTTGTATTCAAAAGTTGATCCAATGATACAAGAGTGATAGAATGTAAGAAGATTTCACCAACATCTTAATCCAAAACTTTAAGTCATCATGTTTATAATGAGCCTTCTCACTTATGTGCTATTAAATATACTCAAATCTATTGATGTAAGAGTCTCATTCATATTTGCACAAACAAAATGTAATAAAACACTATTTTGTTTTTCTTCCGTAAATACTACATGGATTATGTACATATATACTAGGGACAAAAAATGGCTACGTACTAAAGGTTGATAGAACTTGTCTTCTCTTTTTATATAGAAATTCTCTTATACGATCATTGGGTAATTATATGTTAGTTCTTTTTTAGCACGTTGGCAACTTCTTAGTTCTCATCAATATGCGGGGAAGAAATGTAGGTATGATCCAAAATAAACACACTTGGCGCATTCAAGCCATGCCACGACCGTGGTTACATGATTGAGAATATAACAAAGCACACCAGACAAATAAAAGTCCCATGAAATTGTTATGAATGAAGCAACGGCCAATGCAGTAGAAGACATATTCGTCTTCAATAACAAGAAAAAACAGCTTTCAACTAGGCCCTTAATTAGATATAATATACGCTATTAAACAAAAGTACCATAGTAAACAAGGTCCAAATCCAAATCAATTCTCGTATATGGCCGGCATGACAAGCTCATATTCTTTGCATGTAGGACTTTGTCAGTGTTATTGAATCTTAATTTCCTATGCACACTCCCTTCCAAACTTGGAATAGTTCACTAGTTCTTTGTTCTCATTCTTTCTAGTTTCTTTCTCATCAACCAATAACCCATTTTGGTTCAACCTCTGATCAACTAATTATGGCTAATAGAAGACCATACTATGGCCTTCTTATGCTCATTGTGTTGGCCATTTGTTTTGTGCCATCTTTTGGAGACACGCATGCTCAAATTTTGATGAGGTTCAGGAGTTCCTTGTCCAATGACAGTGCCTTAAGAAACTGGGGGAACGAGTCAAATTTATGCGGTTGGAAGGGTTTGTTATGCCGCAATGGCCAAACATTTTATGGCTTGAGACTAGAGAATATGGGGCTAGGGGGGAAGGTTGATGTAGAAGCCTTGCGCGAGTTGTCAAATTTGACAAGTTTCAGTGTCATTAACAATGCATTTGAGGGTCCAATGCCTGAGTTCAAAAAGCTTGTGAGGTTAAGGGCATTGTTTCTGTCCAATAACAACTTCTCTGGTGAAATTCCGGATGATGCTTTTGAGGGCATGAGAAGGTTGAAAAGGGTATTCTTGGCAGAAAATGGCTTCACGGGTTCTATTCCTAAGTCACTTGCTAACTTGCCTAGACTTTGGGATTTGGACATACATGGGAATGGTTTTGAAGGCAACATACCAGAATTTCATCAGAAGGGCTTCAGAGTGTTAAATATGTCGCATAACCAATTGAAGGGTCAAATACCAGAAAGTCTACGCGACAAGGATCGAAGTTCATTTGCTGGTAAGTAAAGTAAATAGTCATTTCTGTGTTCTCTAAACACATGCTTGGTTTTTAATTTGTTTGTTGTTTCTCATTACATGGAGTTGAAAATCCATGTTTACCGATAACTTACTCCTTTGCCAAACTAAACCTTTTGCCTCCTATAACTCCTTTCTACATAGATCATAGATAAAATTTTATAGTACATTTGGAAACTCTTGCCATGTCATTAGCCTAGGAATAGATTTTAAATTACATGCAAGGTTTTAAATTGCGATCACAATTTTGTTGTGTTTCTTGATATTATGGGAAATTGAGGACAAATGCTGTTACAATTGCGGTTGCAAACACTGTAAACACCTTGATGTTGCAGCTGAAATTGCAATCACAACTTTTATAACCTTGTTTAGATGCTCAACAATCTTAATATCTTTCTGTTTTTGTTCTTCAACTCATTTTGTTAATAGTGACCCACTTTATTAAATTTTTTTTCTTCTATTTTTTAGCGGAATATTAGTCATTTACCATTGATTTTCAACTGGTTTGGAAACTTCAATGAGGTGTTGTGTTTCTGGTTCATTTAATATTCCACGACCTTTATAAAAACAAGGGATTGATACACACACATGAAGCTTTATAGACTAACTTCCTAATTAAGAAAATGTTACTGGTATTGGATTCAGATTTATGCATCAGCATTTGACTGTAAAATTAAATTCATTTACATTTATTAATCATCCATTCAAGTACACATACTCCTCAAAGTTATCTTAGACAGACTACTAGGAGTCTGTTTGGATACAAACTAGAAATATTTTTTGAGTTTTTTTATAGGAAAAATATCTTTATTTTCAATAGAGAAGTTCATTTAAACTTGTATCCAAACAAATTCTAGTTATTGTTTCTTCTTCTTGTTATTGTTGGATGTTATTATCTTACATGTTCAATTTAATGTTTCTTCTGCAACACAGGCAACAAACTCCTATGTGGAAAACCTATGATACCCTGCTTCAATTATAGCATCCCCCCCCACCCCAAAGTCTCTAAATCACTGACTCCCGACCCTTATTCTCCACCTCATGAAAAGGGAAAGAACAACCACATCCTTATAATTGTCCTTGTAGTTGTAGCAGTGGTTGTCTTTGCTTCAATAGTAGCACTTCTATTCATCCATAACCACAGGAAAAAAAGGTTGCAACCCTTAACACCAGGCAGGAAGGCAAATTCCCAGAGCAGTGCAGGCTTCAAGGAGTCACAATCCATTGATCTGACAAGTGATTTCAAGAAGGGTGGTGATGGAGAATTGAACTTTGTTAGGGAAGACAGAGGGGGGTTTAGTTTGCAGGACCTTCTTAGAGCCTCAGCTGTGGTTCTTGGTAGTGGCAGTTTTGGTTCCACCTACAAGGCCATGATTTTGAATGGACCTCATGTGATTGTGAAGAGGTTTAGGAACATGAACAACGTTGGGAAACAAGAGTTCATCGAGCACATGCAAAGGCTTGGAAGTTTGACACACCCTAATCTTCTCCCTCTTGCTGCATTCTACTACAGAAAAGAAGATAAGTTTTTGGTTTATGACTTCGGTGAAAATGGCAGCTTGGCCAGTCATCTACATGGTATTATAATGTTTTATTTTATAATGGTAATAAATGTTATAGTTATAAATAGAGCCTGCACTTTGATTGGCTTCAACCAAGTAATGAATTAAAGATGTTCATCATTCCAGACCACTTGAATTAACTCATTTTGTTAGAAAGAATATGCACATTATTAGGTGGTGTAGCAGTTCTATTTTCACGATGAATAATTTTGCTGAGAATTTAGTTTTTAACCGAGATTAATAGCATCTTAAAATCTATACTTTGGTGAGAAAAGACTTTTGTTGTTGTTGGTAGAGAGATGAGCATATAATAGTTGGGAAATTTTTGAGGTTAACCAGTTAAATCACGAGGACACATAAGTTTTTAAGTGGGTATTCTATTTTGAGACTTGTATTTTAATCTCATGGTTGAAAACAACCACTAATGCTAGCTACACCCTTTCTAATATTCTTTTTCACAAATGTGAGTCTTGCATCTCATTTAGCGAGTCTTTCCTGATTTAGTGGTAGAATCCACTAGAATTTGTGATTTTCAACTAATAACAGAGCAAGTATTAGCAAAAGAGTGTTAGAGAAACCAAACCTCTTGACTCAATGATTGCAAAGTCCCAAGATTGATTCTCGCAATGTTAAAGCTAAGCTTGGTGAGTGGAATTGGTTTTCATCATTAGAATATTGTGTAGACCATATCTATTAGACAAAAAAAAAGTATTGGAGAGAGTGTTGATATCATTTCCCTTCTTATTTTATTTAATAAAGTCATTCTTATAAAACATGCATTAATGAAATTGTTGAAATTCAAACAAAGTCTCACAACATTAAGAAAGAGAAAAAACAATGTTTTATAAAACATACATATACTCTATTGATTTATGGCCTTTTGGATGATGATCAAAAGAAAATCCATGAGGATGAAGATTAAAGTGGACAATATTTAATCAATGTAAAAATGTGTGTGTAGTTAATCAACAAAATAAAATAACGCTTCTATTGAAAAATATATCTCTCCAAAACAAACCATCACGAATAACTGCTCAAGTTTGGACTTTATCATGATTAGAATTTAGTAGAGCTTTAAATGTATGATGATTATCAATTTTTGCATTGACATGCATGCAGGTAGGAATAGCTCAGAACTAACCTGGTCAACCCGTTTGAAGATCATAAAAGGAGTGGCAAGGGGCTTGGCCTACCTCTATGAGAACTTCCCAGGACAAAGCCTACCACATGGTCATCTAAAGTCCTCCAATGTGGTGCTGGACCATTCCTTTGAGCCACAGTTGACAGAGTATGGCCTTGTGCCAGTGATGAACAGGAGTCATGCTCAGCAGTTCATGGTAGCCTACAAGGCCCCAGAGGTGAGCCAACATGGGAGGCCAAATGAGAAGAGTGATGTGTGGTGTCTTGGGATCCTCATTCTGGAGCTTCTCACTGGGAAGTTTCCAGCAAACTACCTGAGGCATGGGAAGGGGGGGAACAAAGCTGACCTGGCAACATGGGTGGACTCAGTGGTGAGGGAAGAGTGGAGTTGTGAGGTGTTTGATAATGACATCAAGGGAACTAGGAATGGGGAGGGTGAGATGTTGAAGCTGCTCAAAATTGGGATGTTTTGCTGTGAGTGGAGTGTGGAGAATAGGTGGGATTGGAGGGAGGCTGTGGCCAAGATTGAGGAGTTGAAGGAGAGGGATAGTGCTGATGATGAGTACTCTTCTTATGTGACTGAAGATGACTTCTCTTTCTCTGTCACTAATTGATGAGTTTCAAGCTATAACAACTCAATTGAGGACTTGCATTTTCAAGTTTCAAAATTGCAGTTGAGCTTGTGGTTAACTGATTCTGTTACAGCTGTGGTTGCTGTTGATGTGGTCAAGGTGGTCACTGGCTAAAATTGTTTTTGTGTTTGCACAAAGTGTAAAAAAACATTTTATTATAATTATTATAACTATAACTATTGCTAGATCTTTTATTTATGATTTCCTATATGCTATATATAGATTTCATTCATTTTTAAGACTTTGTATCATTTCGGTGAATAATCTAAATCAGATTTATATTTGTTGCTTTACAATAATTATAATTTTCTTTTATTCTATAATTTAAAGAAACATGACGTTGACTTTATATGTTATGTTGCCTCATGATTTAATTGGTTTAATATCTCTCTACCTTTAACTCTTTAGGTATTATTTCTAGATTATAATTTTTAGACACCTAAATCTCATAAATACTTAATTAATACTGTCACCAATGCTGATTATAAGCGATAAAACTAAAAAAAATAAGTAATTAAGTTGTTTTTTTTAATTGTTTATGCTATAAATTTTAATTTTATTCTAAAAATATTCTTTATTTTAAGTGATTGTTATATTTAATATTAGTTATAAGTGAGTGTATAGAAAGTAGAATTAACAATTAATATAGAAGAAACTTATCCTCGAGTAACATTAAAAATTAATGATTATTGTTTATAATTAGAAATTTTTTTAATTTATTGCTTATAATTAGGAACAGAGGTAGTGTGTGTATAATATTATATAAGAGGGACTAATTTATTTTTACATTAAGACTACTTAGACTTATTTTATTCAATAACTCATTCTATATCAAATTTTAATAATTTAACTATTGAACTAAAAGTTCTTAATACATAGATTAAGTCTATAAATTTAAAAAAAAATTAAAAATTATTTGATACTTTGTTTCATTAATTCAAATTAACGTATAAAATATTTTTATAACCATTCGTCAATTCGAATTGATGAAACCAAGTATCAAATAGATTTAAAATTTTAAAAATTTGCAAACTTGATCTATTTATTAAGATCTTTTAATTTAACAGTTAGATTGTTAAAATTTAATATAAAACATGAATTATTCAGTAGAATAAGTCTACTAAAACTTATTTTTGAAATAAGTGAATCTCTTATATATATTAGCAAAAATGGTACTACGTGCCTCTATTATACAAAAATAAAAATAAAAGGGTAATTATTTGAAAGTATGTCTCTCTTGTTTAGAAAAAGTCAAAAAAAGAAAAAAAAAATAGTAGAATGTCGGTAGTTATTTGAAAGGTGTGGTTGATTTATAATTTATGAAGGAGTAGTTTAAGGGTAAAATTAAAACTAAAATATGTATACAAAAAAAGTCTATCATCTTTATTATAGTTATATATATAAAGAGAGAGGAGAGATCAAATTACTCCCAAAACAACTCTTGATAAAATTACTCCACTTAATAAATCATAATGTATGTTGAATTTTAACGGTTCAATCGTTAAATTAAAAATTTTTAACGCATAAACGAAGTTTACAATTTTTTTAAAAAGTTAAAAAATTATTTGACACTTTGTTTCATTAATTCAAATTGACAGATAATCATAAAAATATTTTATATGTTGATTTGAATCTAAATAACAAAATATCATATGATTTTAAAATTTATTAAAAGTTTGTAAACTTGATTTGTATATAAATAACTCCCAATTTAACAGTGAGATTGTTGGAGTTCAACATATAACTTGACTTATTGAGTGAAGTAACTTTACTAAAAGTTATTTTTGGAGTAAGTGAATATGATAAAAGATCTACTTAGTCCAAGAGTAAATTTACTTACATTTTCTTCACACAATAACTCATTTTACATCAAGTTTTAATGATTCAAATGTTAAATTAAAAGCTCTTAAACCATAGATAAAGCTTGCAATTTTTTTAAAAAATTTGAAAACTATTTGATACTCTATTTTATTAATTCAAATTAACAGATAATCATAAAAATATTTTATATGTTGATTTGAATTAATGAAATGAATATGAAATAGTTTTCAAATTTTTGAAAAATTTACAAATTTAATCTATACATTAAGAACTTTTAATTTAATAGTTAGATTATTAAAATTTATTGTAGAATGAATTATTGTGTGAAGTAAATATAGGTATACTTACTCTTGAATTAAGTAGATTTCTCCTCATAATACATATATCAAGTTAGTAAATTTTTAAAAAATTTAAAAGTTGTATAATATTTTTTGTTATATAAATTTAAATCAACGTATAAAACATTTTTATAATTATTCATCAATAAATATTAAAAAAATATTTTAAATTATATGAACTAAAATATAATACGAATGAAAATATAAAGAATAAAAAAATATTTTAACCGTTAATTTGTATTTCGTGAATAAAAGAATGGATGCACCATTCCGTTTCCTAGAAAAAGTATTCCTTGTCAAGATGCACCATTGGGTTTCCAAAAAAGAAAAGGAAACCCGCAAAGTTTGGTTATTCTCTCATAGTTTGGAGAGAGAAGAAGAGAGTGTACAATCTGTGTGGTTCCGTGAAAATCTCAAACTAGCTAAAGATGGCTGCAAATTCTAGTTAGAGGAACTTGTTTTTCCTCATTCTTCTTTCTTGTTTTGTTCAATTCATTGCCTCAAACACCAAAACATTCAACAAAGTACACAAATACAACACATCATAACATCAAAGTCCTTTTGTCTCTTGGCATTCAAGGAGGGACAGAGGAGATTCAAAAAAGAAACCAAAAGCAATTGAGTTACCCTTCATTGCTCTTCAAAAGAGTGACATAGAACCCGTTTAGAAAATAACAAATATTAGAAAAGAAAAAAATAAGATAATTAAAGGGGATTAGAGAACAAGGAAAGAAAGTTTAGAGGTCTCTTTGATAAGACTTTTTGGCTTCTTGGTTTGTTTTGTGTGGTTTGTTTTCATTAGAAGAGCACTAAAAGTTGAAGATAGTGTTTGGAAGGGAGAGTAATGTGGCTGCAAAAGAATCACCACGACAAGAAGGAAGGGGTCAATGGAATAGTGGCAGTGGCAATAGATTCAGACAAGGGGAGCCAGAATGCACTCAAATGGACCATTGATCATCTCCTCAGCAAAGGCTCAAATTTAGTTCTCATTCATGTCAAGCCAAAGCATTCTTCTCTTTCTGCAACAACTTCTCTTGTAACTCCAAGTAAGAATTCATTATTATACCTCATACATGTTCTTTTCAATGATATTATCAAGTAAGAATTCATTATTATACCTCATACATGTTCTTTTCAATGATATTATCAAGTAAGTTTTCATTATTATACCTCATACATGTTCTTTTCAATGATATTATCAAGTAAGTTTTCATTATTATACCTCATACATGTTCTTTTCAATGTTATTATATTTTTATTTTGTCAATGGACATGATCTATTCAATGTCCTAAAGCTAACAAAAAATGACCAATTTGTGTTCATGAGATGTGATTTTTAACATAGATGGAAATCAAACCCAAGAATATCAAGTCAACCCATGTCCACAACACGCCTTACAACCACTGGGTTAAGTGATTTGGTTTCAAAGCTATTATATGAAACATACAATGATAATACTAGACACATACTTTTACAATTGTTGTGTACTACCCTTTGTCCAATTAGGAAATAGATAAGTCTTAGTTTGGATAAACTTGTCAAAATGAAGTAAAATGGATTATTCTTCTGACTCAAAATTAACTTATGTATACATTCTTTTAGAGAAACAAAGAAGTAAAGTTAATTATACTTCCCCTTATTTTCTTCTCCTATGAAAAGTTTTTGGAGAATAATATTAAATTGAACCAAAAAGATAAGAGAGATAAGCTTGAAACAAGATAATTATTCTAATGAAGGAAAGGAGAGAAAAAAAAATATATTGGAAAAGGTGTCTAGAAACATAAATGTATAAGAAAGAATAATAAAACTCATTTTTGTACGAGTAAGAATAATATAATGGCATATGCATGAATGCCTCATTGCATCATTAGTATATGTCTATTATTTGCTATATGACATGTTGATGTTTAGATTACAACAAAAGAAAAATGTTTCAAAAAGGAAAGGGAAAAAGAAACATTTGTTGGCAAACATTTACTAGGTACTAGATTATTTAACGACACGGTTGACCTAGCGCTCTCAGGATGACTTGCGCAATGTTAAAATAATATTTAACTAGCAAAAGACATATTTTGAAAGTGTAGATTAGTCCTTGATTATTAGCTTTGAGATATTATGTAAACCATGTTTATGGAAAAAAAGAAGATAATTTAGTGACTTTGTTGGTTGCAGGGCTAGGGACACATAGTATTGTTGAGAAGTTTACACTTGTTTGCAAGGACCCAGATGAGCAAACAAGAGAAATTTTTCGGCCATATCGTGTATTTTGTGCAAGGAAAGATGTAAGTTTTGTTTTCTTTTTCTTGGAAGGAAAACAAAGAGGTGGAACAAAAACTCAAACTTCAACTAACTTTAGCCCCATTTCTTGGAGTCTTGGTCCATATTTCCTCTACAAAATTTAGTTGTTCTCTCGACATGCTTCCATTTTGCATCCCAAATTCGGTCCACTTTGAAAAGTCTGGTGATGATAATGTAAAAATGTTTATGAATCATACATAAGATTGTGTTCAGATAAACTTACCCAGAAACACTAGAGAAATAAATAAATAAACAAGCTTTTCTATAAGTTAAATCGAGCATACGTACAAGAAAAAAAAAGTTTTTGAAGATACTAATATAAGAGAATTTCTACAAATTAATTTATGCATAAATTAATTTTAGTTTATAAAAAAATTATTTTATTTTCGTTCTTATTTTGTTTTCACTTAGAAGTACTTCTAGTACTTCTAAAAAAAATTATCTAAAAATACTTATATACAAAGTAATAGCGATAGTAATAATAAATTAATAATAGTAATTTGGCAATGGCTTTCATTTTTTAGAATTCTTACATTATCTGAGGATCTAATCATTTTTATTTTCTTTTTTGTTGTTGGTTTTTAGATACACTGCAAGGACGTTGTACTAGAAGATGTGGACGTATCCAAAGGCTTAATTGAATATGCTTCTCAATATGCAATTGAGCATTTGGTCATTGGCTCTTCAAACAAAGGTGGTTTTCTTAGGTACGTTTTTCTACTTCTCTTTCTAACTCTTACCTTCCACTCTGAAGTGGATACATGAGCAACCATCATTGGAAAAGAATATATATATATATATATATATATATATATATATATTATAAAGTGCAGCTAATAAATGAAATCCATAACAATAAAATCATATAAAATAAAGCAAAATTAGCCTTTAATGTAATCAAGCTATCAAAAAAACCTTGTGTCATAAATGATTATGTTATGGTTATGTACCTTGGTGTGTCAATGGACATACAAAAACTCTATTTGAATAAAATTTAGAAGTATTTTTGAGAGTTTTCTAGTAAAAATAGAAAGTTATTTCTGGTAGAGAAACTTCTCTTCTATGCTTGTATCCAAACATGTGCATAAACAGTTGCTAGAATTTCTATAGCGGGCATGCATATAATATGTGTGTACATCATTTTTCTAAGGAACATTTTTTTGAATCAGAAGATTCAAGGTAGCAGATATTCCTGGAATAGTATCAAAAGGAGCACCAGATTTCTGCACAGTATATGTTGTTGCCAAAGGGAAGATTCAATCCATGAGATCAGCTTCTCGTGCTGCTCCTGCCTTTTCCCCTCTTCAAAGCCAACTTAGTCAACCCAATGTTAGGTCAGACCATTCAGAATCACGTGTGCCTCTGGCCAATAGTGCCAAAGGTAACATCTAATTTCATCTCTTCTAAAATATGGTACATCTATATTTATATAGGGTCATGATCTATTGACATTAGGTGTCAAAGTTAGTAAAATTACACTTTCAATAGTTCTTTGTAGAATAAAAATTTAACTGATCTAACTATTGAATTATATTATATTATATGTGTGTGATTTGTCATGATGTTGATCAATGAGAAATTTGGTTTCTTTAAGGACTTGAAAGGAGGTCTTTTGAGACACCAGCACCACCCCGTAGATCACAGGAAGGAACAGACTTCTTCAGGTAATAATGATATTCATTTCTATTATATACACTGCATGGCTAATTTATTCCTTCACTCGAGAAAGAGCATCTTACATCTAAAATTTCACTCACTTGCAAATTAGTCCTATCATAAACTACTATATTTCTTATTTGATCCCTAAAATGTACTAAGGTTCTCATTCAAAGAAACTAATGTTATTTGGGAACATATAAATTGGAAGTTTTGATAATTCATGATAAGGGGTTAGATACTTGGACTCATTTGTTTCTTCTTTTCCCTTTTCATTCATGCTATGACAACTTTCATCTTGCATGGTTAACAAGTATCCATGAACTAAACAGAAAATGGTATTGGAAGCAGGTCACCACTGACTAGGAAAGGTGTGAATGATAGGTCATATGCGGAAATTTCGTTGCCAGATACTGACATAAGCTTTGTAAGCTCTAGAAGGTCAAGTACAGATCGCTTATTCCCTTCATTACAGAGCAACAACAACCACAACTCAGAGACATCTATGTCAAATCCCCGGATGTCATATAGCTCTGACATAGATGGAAATAATTATAGCTTTGAATCTGTGCATTTTGGAAGAAGGTCTATGGATATCAACTCTGATTTCTCATCATTCTCACAAGAAAGTGATGGCTTCTCCTCTACATCACAGGGCATGGTAAGGAAAATACATGCAGCCTGTTAGGATACAAATAAGATTTCACATAATGATAAAATGATATATAAAGACAGATTCCATTGAATGAGAGATTAGGTCCCTTGGTTAAGGGAAGAATTGTTGAGATACAAACAAGGTTCTATATCGATAAAATAAGAGAAGAAATAACAATTTATAAAGTACACACATACTTTAATGATAAAAAGACCTTTTGAATAGTAACCAAAAACAAAATCATGAGGACTTGAATGATAACCCTCCTCTTGATATAAATATATCCTCTCAAACAAGTCTTCAAAATAAATAACCTTAACACAGCCTATGTGCATTTTTCTTTCCTGCTCTACTTCTACTCTACTTGTGCATGTGCATGTGTTAATACTTCTCTCACATATAAGAGGCCCATTATGATAAATAATTAATGATTGAGATAGTGGTGAAATACATGTACTGTGTAGTGTGTACATATATAAAAATATGAAAGTAGTTAAAATATCAATTATTGATTAAAAAAGTCTAACGGTTATAACTATGCTTTATCCTAATGCACCCTCCTCATTTTAGCTGAGCTAGAAAAAATGTATTCATACATTTTCTTATAGAAAGATAGATTTTGCAAATGTTTTTCTTGAATATGAAGACATCAATAGGGTCTTAGGCTACATATGTAACTATATAAGTTAAATTATACCTAAATTAAATAAAATGTTTCATAAAATCAATATGATGGTTGATAATCTAGAAGTGTATAATGTCTTTTACCGTAGTTTAACATAATGTTATTGTAATGTTTAACAAACTTTATGTGACTAACCAAACTGTTTCATAAAATGAACAAATATAGTAACATTAAGAGAAAAATGTGGTAAGCTAACCTCTGGTCAATAGCCTAAACCTGTAACTTGATTCGCAAATTTGAAGGAATTTGACAACTTTCACTTTAACTTAAAAGTGTTTAGTGAAAAGTATAAAAAATTTAAGGGATAAGTTGAGCAAGTATTAAACTAAGGGTTTAATGATTAGACATTTTCAATTTAAAATAGTTTTATACTCTCAACCAATCAAAAATCACTATTGATATGACTTTTAAGGTAGTTATTGTAAATGTCAACAAGTTTACCATGCATAATGGTTTGCGATCGAATGATAGTATAAAACTGTTTTTCATCACCACTGGGTAGCCTATTTTCTCTTAAACTAAAGGGGTAGAAGGTAGTTTACCCTACAAACAAATGATCAAATAGTCAAATATTTAAGTTACTTTAAAATGTTATTTATAAGGGTAAAGCATTTTGATTCCTGATTGTCACTAGCCTGTGGATAATCTTGTTGCAAGTGTAGGATGATGTGGAGGCTGAAATGAGAAGACTGAAGTTGGAGCTTAAGCAAACAATGGAAATGTATAGCAATGCCTGCAAAGAAGCACTCACAGCACAACAAAAGGTATGAGATAATAGCATCTACATATGCATTTTAAAAGCACAAGAAGATTTGAGACTGACATGTTATGCAATGCATCACAGGCTGTGGAACTCCAGCGATGGAAATTAGAGGAAGAGAGGAGATTGGAGGAGGCAAGGCTCGCTGAAGAAGCTGCATTGGCAATCGCAGAGAAGGAGAAGGCGAGATCAAAAGCAGCCGTTGAGACTGCTGAGGCACAAAAGAGAATTGCAGAACTGGAAGCACAAAAGAGAATCAATGCAGAAATGAAAGCATTTAGAGAATCAGAAGAGAAAAGAAAAGCATTTGATGCTTTTTCAAATAGTGTGAGGTATAGAAGGTACACAATTGAGGAGATTGAAGCTGCAACAAATTTTTTTAGTGAGTCACTGAAGATTGGAGAAGGGGGTTATGGTCCAGTTTATAAGTGCCATTTGGACCATACACCTGTGGCAGTGAAGGTTCTACGTCCTGACGCAGCTCAAGGAAGGTCACAGTTTCAAAGAGAGGTAATACAGTAGACAAACAAAACTCCCTGGCCAATATATGCAATATTTTAAATGCTACAAAATAAATGGAAGTTGCAGGTTCAACCAAAGTAAAAATCTAAAGGAAATTGTGGGGTTTTAGGTGTGTACAAGGCAAGTAGGGAAGATATGGCTAATACATGTGGAAAAAACATGCACAAAGTTTTATGATATCCAAATTCCAAAGTAGTAACCTCTCTTGTGCTTGTCTATTTTGGTGAAGTGAGATTTGGTAAATGACATAAAGCCTATAAACTTGGTTGACTTCCTCGTAGGGTTTTAAATTGGTAATTAAGTATCTCTAAAGTGAAAAGGCTTCTAATACTTCTAAAATGCAAGAGGGTGCAGCTACAACTACAATTGATTTAAATTGAAGTGAAACTGTAACTTAAGTTACTCACCTTTACTAGTGATGGTTAAAAACATTTTCAAATTAAGAATCTTATCTTTAAAATTGTGGTTTGAAAAATCTTTGTAATCATAATTATGCCACATTTGCCTACATTTTTCTGCATTTTTATTATTCAAAAGTCACAACACAAATGTTACAACCATACTTTTGTTGTATGAACATGATAGGTTGAGGTACTGAGTTGCATTCGGCATCCAAACATGGTTCTCCTCCTAGGAGCCTGCCCTGAGTATGGCTGCCTTGTGTACGAGCACTTGACAAATGGAAGCTTAGACGATCGCCTCTTCTGTCGAGGAAACACTCCCCCGATTCCATGGCAGCTGAGGTTCAAAATTGCGGCCGAAATCGGCACAGGCTTGTTGTTCCTCCACCAGACCAAACCTGAGCCTCTTGTGCACAGAGACCTTAAACCAGCCAACATCTTGCTAGACAGAAACTATGTGTCCAAGATCAGTGATGTAGGTTTGGCCAGGCTGGTTCCACCCTCTGTAGCAGACAATGTGACACAGTATAGAATGACATCTGCTGCTGGAACATTCTGTTACATAGACCCTGAGTACCAGCAGACAGGAATGCTGGGAGTGAAATCTGACATATACTCTCTTGGTATCATTTTCTTGCAAATTTTGACAGCAATGGCTCCAATGGGTTTGACACATTATGTTGAGAGGGCCATTGAGAAGGGCACATTTGCTGATATGTTGGATTCAAAAGTGCCTGACTGGCCAGTGGAGGAGGCCTTGATCATGGCAAAGATTGGTCTCAGATGTGCTGAACTTAGGAGGAGAGACAGACCTGATCTTGGCAAGGAAGTGCTACCTGAACTAAACAGGCTTAGAGAACTTGCTGAAAACAATGATCAGTGTTCAATGTTTAGTGGCTATTATAGCCCATCCAATCAGAGCCAAGTTTCTCTTCAGCTGGTAAGGTTCTTTCAGTTAATGTTGGAATTATCGAGGATCTTGACTTGAGGTTTTATGACACTTATTTAAGGTCTGTTCGGATAAGCTTCTACATGAATATTTCTAAAAGAGTAAAATTAGAAGAAAAATCAAAATAAGTTTTTTTATAAGTTAAAATTAAATTGTGCATGAGTTAAAAATAAGTTAATATGAGGAAGTTTCTACAAAATAGTTTATGCATAAGCCAATTTTATTTTATGTAAAAATTTATTTCATTTTTCATTCCTATTTTGCTTACCTAAAACTACTTCTGGAGAAGTTTACTTAATCATATCCATAAGGTGTATTTTGGTAAACAACCTAACTAAGTGCTTATAGAATAACTTGTTTTTTGTTTCTACAATTAAGAAGAAATTAAAGTTAAAACCGTTTTCAGGTAATTTGTAAGTTGTTTCCATAAGCTATTATAGATAACTTAAAAGGTTATTTAGAAAAACTCTTCTATAAGCACTTCAAGAAAAAATAAATAAAGACGAAAAACAAAATAAATTTATTCACAAACTAAAATTAGTTTATACATAAGTTAAAATTTAGTTTTACAAAAAAATTAATATGATAAAACTTCTATAAATTAGCATATACACATACTAATTTTATCTTCTTTTTATTTTCTTCCTATTTTGTTCTAGAATTACTTAGGGATAAGTTTATCTACACACACCCTTATTCAAATAAGTAACTTATGGACAATCATGAACTTTCTCAAGTGCTTATGTGATAAGTTGAAATAAGTTGTAAATAAAAACTTCCAAAAGCACGTAACTGATGTTTGGATGAGTTCATGAGAGTAATATAGTAATAGGATTTTCCTATATGTCCTATTGCTTATTTTCTATAAGCTCTTGTTAAATAAGTGATTGATTAATCCGTTTACATAAAGTGACCTTATTTAATTTGATGACCCTTTTGCAGGATGGATCCAGTTCTCCACTTCCTTATTCTGGGTAGAGCACAAAAAACACATCAAGCTCTGTCTGAGAATCATTGAAAACAATATCTTCTTCAGCAAAATAGATAGTATATATGTTGGGTGAAAATGATCCCAAGGATAAAGTGTAAATTACTTAGGAGAATTGATGTAATAGCTTCCTTGATTCTTTTAATTTGTGCATGAGATTTTCTTAGATTGTAAAAATAGAAGAGTCAAAGTGTAAGTATAAGAACCCAAGTTACTACGCCAAGCCTCTCTTCAGGGACTATTTGGTCCGGAAGTGAGTTCCAATCAAAGTTATTTTATATATTTTATTTATGTTGAATTATAATTTCTACAAATAAAAAAAAATGGGTGCATGGAAATCTGCTACCAGCCAAGGTGTTATTAGGGTACAAATCCTATTGCTGCTCACAAACTAGACTATTTGAAATGAGATATTTTCAAAATTAATAAAAACAATTTATTAAAGTTGCTTATATTATCAATTTATCATGATGAATCTCATTTAACCATTAGAATTGGAGTAAAGATTTATGTTGAAAACTCAAATTTGATACTACATTGTAATTTTGATAAATAAAAGAGTCTTATTTAATATTTATTTTTTGATTGACAATAAGGTCATTTTGTTTAATTTTATTGAGAAATTAGTCGTAACTAAGATTTTATTAATTTCATGTTGAGAAACTTTATATATATATATATATATATATATATATATATATATATGAGGAGGGTTCAAACGATACCAGTGTAACTTTTACTAAGTGTTACACTGCTCAATAACTTTATATTAAATGTGAATTTTGTAAATCCAACCGTTAGATTGAAAATTCATATCACTTTATATGTGTATATCAAATTTTGTTAAAATTGAACAACAACTTGAGAGTAATCAAAATATTCATATTTTAGTATATTTTGAAATAAATATTTTACATCAATTTTGTTTTATAAGAATAAAATATCAAATTAGTAAAAGTTATACCGGTGTCATTTATATATATATATATATCAATAAGTAATTTACATTGTTCTTTCTATAATAGATGTGAGATGTTAGTGATAGTGTTATTCCTTCTATTATTATTTTTCTTTCAATTATGATATAATTTTTTTTAGTAATTTTATATTAAAATAACTTATGAAGAATTTATTTGTACTTATTTTATTTAATAAGTGTTTATGAAAATATTTTGACAAACTTATAAAAAATCTTCTGATAGTCCATAAGATATTTTGAGCTTATTTTAATAAGTTGTCTAATATAATTTATTATTTAGTTTATGCTATAACTTATTGAGAAGATATTTGTTATATACACTTTCGTTAATTAATAATAAATCTCTCGTACCTTTGTTTTTTTATTTTTATTTTTATTTCTTAAATATCCTTTTTCAAAAGATAATTTTTTTGGGAGAAAAAATGTTTTCGGAAAAGTAGGTTTTGGAAATGTATTCTTTTATCTTCCGGAAAGTATTTCTTGAAAGAATTTTTTTTCCTTCTAAAAAGTACCTTTCAAAAGTATATTTTTGTTCTTCTAGAAGCATGTTTTACACCCTAAACTCCAAGAGTAAAAATATGTTTCTAGAAAGTATTTTTTGAAAGACAAAATACACTTCTGAAAAGTATTTTTCATAAATATGTTTCACTACCCTAAACCTCAAGAATAAAAATATTTTTTTGAAAAGTACTTTTTGAAAGACAAAATATATATTCCTACAAAGTACTATATAAAAAAAAATTACTCCTCCATGTTTGAATCATATCACTAACATAAATAATAATCATTTTATTATTTTCATTGTTTTATTAAAAATCAGTTTTATATTCTTTTTCGTTACTCTTTTAGAGATTTTCATTTTTGCTTCCAAAAAATTTTTTTTTCTTTATTTTCTTTTTTCTTCCCTCCAATTTTTTTTTTCTATCTCTTCATTCCAAAATCCATATTCTCTTATTATAATTTTTTTTTTTATCGTAGCTTCCTTTTACAATATAGCACATATGAAATAATTTTTGTTGTTGATAAATAATTTTTTAATCATTATTTTATAAAATATATGGATTTGAATTTAAATTTTTTAAATTTTATGCTTTTTGGTTTTTTAATCATGGTTATCTATATATATATATATATATATTTGATTTCTCATATTTGATTATTATTTTATATTTCATAAACTAAAATCAAGTTGAATGGTTATTAATAATTTCTTCAATTTGTTTAAATATATTTTTAGTTCCTGTAAAATGAATTATTTTTGATTTTGGTCGCTAATTTTTTTTCTTTGTTTCTCATCCCTTTAAAATTAAAATATCATTTTTAATTAGTCTCTAGTATTATGTAATTATTATTAACTACTTTTGGATTTATCATATGGTCAAGTGGTTATTCTTGCTGACATTCAAAACTATATTTGATATCATGTTAGTATGTGACACCTTTAAAAAAATTTATAAATCCTTACAACAAAGGTTATTTATCTACCTTAAAATGAACATTAGAGACTAAAAATAGTAATTTTGTTTTAGAGGGATAAAAATCAAAGAAATTTTTTTTAGAAGAACCAAAACTAAAATTTGCTCAACTTTTAGAAATCGAAAATAATGATTTCAAATTTTAAAGAGATGAAAAATAAAGAAAATATTTTGTAGGAACTAAAATAAATAAATAAATAATTCATTTTACATGGACTAAAAGTATATTTAAATATTTTCAATATTATTGTTATATATAGTTATTTTTAAAATTTTAGTTTCTTCTTGAAATTTTATTTTATTTCCAGTAAAAGTTTAATTTGTAATTTTTAAATTTGTAAAATGAGACAAAAAACTTTAAATAATAATATAACCAAGCACGTTTAAATTTTATGTGTTTTTTTTTAACAATATTTATATCCAAATACAATAATTTATTAAATTTAAATATTTATAACATAATTTTTTATTGAATACAAGAAATGTTACATATAGTGAAATACAAAAAGTGTCACTATAGGTACAATATATGTAGGTATATGTCTATTTGACATATAGTTACGCACAATTTTAGTGTTGATTTTGGATGAGATTTAACAACATATTTTGTGTGTCACTATAGTCTATACTCACACTTTTTAATAATATACCAACATATATTGTAGTTATTGTGTGGGTAAAAGTAATTTTTAGTGACATGTATAATGTCACTATAGAGTGTGTGTCACTATATGACAATTTTGTTTTAGTATGATAATTTATTAAATAAGATATTAATTTAATTATTTACACAAATGGACCTTAATTAGAAGAAAACACAAAGTGTAGAGTGATGGGATAATGCAAATATAAACAAGGAAAAAAAAGAATACGTTAAGCATAATTATAAATGAAAATAAAGAGATATATTAGAGCTTTTGTAGGAAAAGAAAAAGTTATAATAAAATAGAATAAAACTATTTTTTGGTACATGTAAAGAAAAGGGATAGCAAAAACAAATATAAAGATAGGTGTATCTAACCCCTTAAAGAGGGGAACTAGTAGAGTCAACAAATAATAGACTATTTAGAATTGTGAAAAAACAAGATCTTCATTCCTTGAGATCCTAAGCTTAGCTAGAGCATCTACATACCTATTACCCTCCCAAAGGGAATGAGCAAGAAAACACTCTCAATCTCACATCATAAGATTACGGATGATCAACAACATAAGTAACAATGGACACATTATGAAGTAAATCCACCAAGACCTGTGAATCATACCAAAGATATTTACATTTATTGATCATCCATTCAAGTACACATACTCTTTAAAGTTATCTTAGACAAACTACTAGGAGTCTATTTGGATACAAACTAGAAATGTTTTTGAGAGTTTTTTTTATAGGAAAAATATCATTATTTTCGATAGAGAAGTTCATTTAAGCTTGTATCCAAACAAATTCTGAATATTGTTTCTTTTTCTTCTTTTTGTTGGATGTTATTATCTTACATGCTCAATTTAATGTTTCTTGTGCAACACATGCAACAAACTCCTATGTGGAAAACCTATGATACCTTGCTTCAATTTTAGCATCCCCCACCCCAACGTCTCTATATCACTAACTCTCGACCCTTATTCTCCACCGCAAGAAAAGGGAAAGAACAACCAGATCCTTATAATTGTCCTTGTAGTTGTACCAGTGGTTGTCTTTACTTCAATACTAAAACTTCTATTCATCCATAACCACAGGAAAAAAGGTTGCAACCCTTAACACCAGGCAGGAAGGCTAATTCCAAGAGTATTGCAAGCTTCAAGGAGTCACAATCCATTGATCTGACAAGTGATTTCAAGAAGGGTGGTGATGGAGAATTTAACTTTGTTGGGGAAGATAGAGGGGGGGGGGTTTAGTTTACAGGTCCTACTTAGAGCCTCAACTGTGGTTCTTGGTAGTGGAAGTTTTGGTCCCACCTATGTTAGGACAAGCAATGGGCAACAAAAGTATAAAACATAAAAACCATAAAATAAAGAAAAGGAAAGGTTGAGGAACAAATAAATTTCGTATTTGATGGATAACCATACCATTTTGCATGTTTTTATGCATATATATGGCAAATACATGAAAAATGATGGAATCATGCCAAAGAAGTCAAGAGGTGATGTTGGTCCCAGTGTACTAGAATTTAGAAGGGGGGTTGAATAGATTCTATCCTAAGATAACTCTCTTTTCGCACAATTCTTGAAAACAACCTATCAAGAAATATAAAATACAACCTTTATGCTATTTGAATAACAAAGAACAATAGATTACAAGGTTTATTACTAATGTAGCAAAATATCAAAGTATATGCACCGAATCAATCACTTGTAATCAAGGTTGATTTTATATTACCTTCTTTTTAATCAAATTCAATTACAAGAATCATAATAAGAGTTGGTATTGTAATTAAAATTTTGTTTTTCAAAAATCTTTAAAATCTTTAAATAAGAAATCAACAAGATTCTTAAAGATAAGGGTAAGAAGATAAAGAACGCAGAAATTTATACTAGTTTAGCCATCCACTTGGCCTACACCCATTTTTCCTTGATTTAGCACCCCACTAAACAAAAGATCATTCACTATAATATTGTTTTACAAACACCTTGCACACACAATATTACAAGAATTCAAACAAACATCAATCTTGACACCACAAGATTGAAAACAAGCAAAATTTCTGTACCCCACAGAAATTACTTGAGAAACCCTACTCATGATTTCAAAATCTCTTGTTGAGACACTCTATCTCAAGAGACACACCAATCAAAAAGAAAGTACAAGTTTAAAGATTAGAGTAATATCACCTAAATCTGT